ACTCCAGGTAATCTCATCAAGATAAGTGTATGAGACAGAGAGAGCGGATATTGAGAAACAATGACGTTATCAGACGTCATGAAACTAAACGGCGACAGCGCCGGGTGATCATATAATGTCTTTTTGATTTTAGAATAATTTGGAAAATTATCAAGCTCAAATTTTCAACATTTCTTAAACTTTTGTTGATTTATGTTCCTTATAAATTTTGTAAGCACAGCTAGACTACATGGTAGTAATTTTATCGCATCAGTCCAAGAACTTTTTGATATCCCTCGTATATGCCAAAACCCTTTCATAACGGGGGTAGAAAAAACTTAAATTTAAATTTTCACAAACCAATATAATATTTTCAGATTCCTGGACATGGATTGAACACTACTTGCAACATTGGTGTTTGTGTGGGAAGATTAGTACCGTCTGTGAGTTGAATTTTACACGTCATGTCTTTTAATCAAATACAAGCATAAACCAAACATTTTTTGTAAGTCTAATATAATCCAACAAATACATATATATATATATTCAATATTTTCAAATGCACTAAAGTTAGCAGAGCTATACAAAGACTGTTTCATGGACCTCGACATTTATAGTTTGAAAACACCAAACGTATCATTTGAGAAAAACTTAGCCGTGTTGAACGGGGAAATGGTTATGTTTGCAGACATCAGAGATCCGAATAAGCATAGCTCCACTCGAATTGCAAAACTAGATCTAGTAAGATTAGATATGCATTTCAAATATGTAGTTTGATATTTTATATCGTAATATATGTTTTTAATTAAAGTAAAGATAAATTATAAAAATTTTAATTAATTCTTTCTGTTATTTTCATGATATACATCTTTTCAGTCTGTGACTTTGCGCGTCAAATTATCAATCACTAATACAACTCTACAGGGAGAGATTGTCGCATTTGAGTAAGTTCTGTATGAATAGAACTCTTATTAAGGCAGCATTTCTGTTCTTTAAATGATATTCGAATGAATTAAGTTCGGTTGCTCAACATCGAAATGAAGAGCACTGTACTGAACGTCTTTCTCGATTATTGAAGTAAACACGTATTAAGGTTAATCTTTATACATTGACACGATGCCTCCTTTTAAGATAGTTACATGTATCAGATTAAAAAGTAAACAGTTGCACTAAGTTACTAATGCTTTGCTAAAGAATATGAAATGGCCAATTTTGAATTCATCTGAGCCGAAAGCTCAAGTGAGCTTTTCTCATCAAAATTTGTCTGTTGTCGTCGTAAAATGTTTACATTTTCAACTTTCAAAGATTCAAATTTGTTCAGATCATGACCCCTGAGGGTTGGGTGGGGCCACAATTGACAATCAAAGTTTTCCTTAGAAGTACAAGGAAAAAAATATTTAAATATCTTCTTCTCAAGAACAGCAAAGGCATGATTAGTCATATTAATATGGAAGTCTCATCAGTTAGCGTAGATTCCATGCAGTCTGTTCAAATTATGCCCCCCGGGGGATAGGGTGGGACCACAATGGGTGACCAAGGTTTTACCTAGGAATATGCATGTAAAGGGAAAAAAATCTTTAAAAATCTTCTCAAGAACAGCAAAGGCTGGCTTGGTTATTCATATGAATACGGAAGCATTCTCAGATAGCGTAGATTCAAGTTTGTTCAAATCATGATTCCGGGGGGTAGGATTGAGCAACAATGGACAATGAAAGTTTTGTAAAAGAAGACAATGATTTTTTTTTCATAAGTACAGCAAAGGCATGAATAGTCCTATAAATATAGAAGCATCGTCAGATATATTGTAGATTCAAGTCTGTTCAAATCATAACCCCTCGGAATAAGTCGGATCAAAATAGTGATTTAAGTTTTACATGGGAATATACAGGAAAAAAAATCTTCTGGCCCCGGGGCCACGAACATTTTATTTTACTCAACTCAAATCTGAGTAAAGTAAACTTCATTTTACTCTCCTGAGTTTCGACTCAAAAAAGTGTGCCACGAACGCTAAGGAAACTCAACTCCGCAGAGTAACAAAACTCTGCTAAAAACTCAAATTGTTATAAATAATAAAAAAAAAAACCCAGCAAGGTCTTAGTGACTCAGGTGTCTGTTGCGGCAGATTGGCTTCTTGTTATAAATACTTGCCGAGTTTTTTCTAAATGTGCTACTGCTAGTGTGTAAGAAATAGAATCAAAACAACTGAAAAGTAAATAAAATACACGAAACAGTTGTCATATTTTAAAATGTTATAATTCGTTCCGAATATTTGTTTTTTACATGATGATACTTTCATGTACCATTTTATTACATTTACAGTCCATTTATAAAGGGTATATTGGCTGATCCAAAACTTACAGACTTTAACGTACGTTAAGAGTAATACTTTAACATGATTATGTGCATCAATACTTTATATTATCGTTCTTTATTCTTCGCCTTATACATGTAAATATTCCCTATGCCTGTCATTTTTTCGTTGTTATTCCAGATTCAGACAGTAAACTTTATTCTTAGAGGTGCAGTTGTGGTAACAGTAGAACCAGAACTAAATCGTAAGAGATACTTGTACCTATGTTTTTGTAATGAATGGGATACATGAATCTTTTAACCATGGGCGAAAACAAGCTTAAAAAGCCTTGAATTGCATTTCAGAGCTAGGAAAAAAAGGCTTCATGTTACCAATTGCCAATACCAATTTGGTCAACACCACAGTCCAGATGATAAAGGTTGGTGGTATCTTACATGTACATCTGATATGTTGGGGGGGGGGGGAGTAATTTTTTTTGATTGACAGAGATACTATAGTAGTTTTTATGAGAATAGTTTAATTTAGTGTCATCAAAATTAATTTCTCTCATTGTCTTATCATCATGATAGATAATTCGTTTTTTTTTTTTTTTTTTTTTTTTTTGTTTTGCAGGACGCAATAGTCATTGGTAGTGATATAGAGCTAAAAAAGAAAGAAAATTCCGAACCAGACTTTTGAAAGAATGTTATTAATAATATTAATCAACATATGATTCCTTAAATACTGATGATAAATATTTAGAGAGTCTCCGACCAAATTGAAATCAGATCACAAGACGTATTTTTGGTTTCTTTAATTAGATATTCTATTTTACAGATTGTGAATACTTTACCCTGCCATAGACATTTGATTATAAATTGCATAATAAAATCATGTTTCATATACAATGTCACAAAAATAAAAAGAACAATTTGAGTTCGAATAGTAATGTGATTTTAGAACTTCTGATGATTTTGACGTTTTCATGTCAAATTAATAAAATCACATTTAGTGTAGAGAAGTGATTGCAAAAGTATATTTGTTAAATAGTAAATATATTTTGATAAGCAAATACTTTAATAATTAACATTACCGGAAAAAAATTCACAAAAGTCAGTAGTTTAGTTGAAAAAAACTATTTTTTATTTGAAAAAAGAGAAAGATATCGATCTATAGAGAACAATTATATAATGAAAATATACAATGCCTGTAAACATATCCCATTTGATATATACAAGCATTCTGTTTTTGTTTTATAACATTCACATACGACATCATTCCCGTAACATTATCCTGTGCTTAGACATCCCTTTTTTCAGTTTGAACTATGACATCATAACTATGACTCTACTACGACCCCTTTAGCGTAGTGATTAAATATTATGTGTAACATTCGAAATATAGTCCTTCCAATTTTCATCCATTTGCCAAGAAAAAATAGAAAATGTGTAGTGTACATTTATTTAGGATATATATATATATATATATATATATATATATATATATATATATATATATATATATATATATATATATATATATATATATATATATATATGGTCATTTCTTGACTAATAATAAGAATTCAGCTTCTCATCAAAGCAATACCATGATTAGGTGACGGTAAATGTACGTTAGAATGCATGCAAGGCATGGGTGATTTGATAGTATTGATGCATTATTTGTGTAAACTGTTTCAAATTTATGACCCATGGTCACGCCCGCACAGTCATTCTTCAAAATCATGCCCGACTGAGAATTTTTTCATGTCGCTTACAATACAAATCTACCATTGTATTATCTAAACTATAAGTTTAAAGATCAATTTAAAGTCTAGTACTTAACATACACACATGGTTTTCGAAATATTTAATGCAATTAAAGTTTTGATATAAGCACATTATAATGTTTACATACGTATTACACTGCAAATCTTAATGTCGTTTCACTCATTAAAAAATTCAAGATAAAATATTCAGCTGTATAAGCGTTCTGAATAGGTTGCATGGAGTTTTTTCCTATATAAAAAGAAAACAAACCACTTCTCGCGAAGAAATATATGGATCTTCTTTTATACGAAATCATAGCATGTCGCAAAAATTCATTAACTTCCATAAGGATTTTTTTTAATTGCACGAACAGAATGCAGATTTCAGAAAGAACCGAAATTTAACTGAAAATGACCATGGAACTTTATATCATTGATTCTAGTTGACAGTCATCAGGCACTTAAGACCAGTACATTTTCGACTCAACAGAATGAATTAGACAAAAACAGTTGCCATTCTTAAAAAAAATAATTCCGTAACGGTAGTTCAGGAATGATTTTGCATTAAAGGTTATAAGCGTATAATTACTCTGGGAGCAAAATACTTCATACTTTCGGTAAACAACTGAGTACAAACTATAATTTTATCTATTGCCGAGAATTTAAATTTTTGTTGCTGAAATTTAACTTATATTGCGATTAACTTCCGTAACGATATTTTGGTATTCATGCAAGACTTCAAAAATCATACTTCAGCGTTCTATACTGAACATCAGAAAACGAAAAAATGGTTAAATTCAGCTTCATTGAAAAAATAATAAGGTCTGTTCAAATATTAACTTCCGTAATATTAATACCTTAAAAAAAACAATGGTACATTTATATTGAAATTGTTGTAAAAGTTAACGGTTACCAGATTTGTTAAATTTTTTTTCAAGTGCACTGTTATGTTCTTCTGTGAAT